GTGTGTGTGTGTGTGTGTGTGTGTGTCAGGTTCCACAAGCAGCACAAACTCTTGTCCCATATGCTGGGCAGCAAGATGTCGCCTCATATTGAGACGAGCGTCTGACAACTGACGATCTGAATTCCGACAGAAGACCCATCGCTCGACGTTTAACGAGAAGCCGAGAAGAACTTCGACCATGACGAGGTCAAAGTTTCATGTCTGGATGAGATTCTGAAGAATCACATGAAATGCTGATTTCATTGAAAGAAGAATACATGGTACATTTTTTTATTCACCGTATGATTTTATTTTTTAAAAGAAGAAGAATCTTTTGTAAATAATTGTAAATAAACTTTGTGATTTCATGAATAAATATAAGTTGTGGGACCAGCATGACTATTTCTGTTTTGTGTTCTTTTGTCTGAGCGTGCCGTTAACCAATTACAGTCAATTTATTAATTTACTTAAAAGTTTGAATTGATGAATAAAGTTATTATATCGATGAAGACTCAAGTAAAATTGGATTTTTTAAAATCACGACCACTAAAATGGTTTCTTATCTTATAATTCACCCCCAAATATCGTCTCTGTGTGTGTTCATCTATTAAACGAGTGGAATAAAATGATCTTCCAAACCTTGAAGCTGTTAAAGGAGAAATAAAAGAGGAAAGAGACTCGTGAAAGGAGCAAAGTGGAATCAATAAAGCTCTCTCTGTGTTTCTGTGTGTGAAACAGGATCCTGAGTGGAAAACACAGTCGTCCTAATAGTTAAATAATGGTGGAGTGCAGAGTGAGTTGTTCAGACTGTGTAAAAACCGGTCAGCCACCACACGGCCTCAAGTTTCCCTGCACCCACTCTCATTTTCCTCTAAAGTGATGAAGAGTAACACGTTGTTTTACAAGGACTGAGGTTTCCAAACAGGCAGAGGACTTTCAACTGGTCCATTAAGCTCAACATCGTCAGGGCCTCACTACTGAAGACGGGCCCTCTTCTAAAATCTTCTTTTAGAAGCAGAATATATTTAGTTTTTATACTTTTGAGTCGTGTGTGGCTGCATTTTATTTGTCCTTTTCCATTTTTCTTGTATTTTATTCCATTTCATTTCTTTTTGTTTTGTGTTTTTATCGGTTATATCCTCATATTTGATATATTTATCTCGTGCACATTGAGTCTATATATGAAACATGTTGTATGATAAAATGAATTGGATATTGTAGTTGTGTATTTTCCAGTTACAGACATTTGAAACCTTTGGGTGTCGACCAGTGGTTTATGTTGTTTACATGTGTGTTTTCACGAAGCTTTAGTTTGTAATTGTCGGTCAGATGTTGTTGGTGTTCAATTTTAAACCAGCTTTGTGAGCTGAGGTGTTTCCTCTTGAAGTTGATCCTTCCATTAAAACATTTGTCTAAGGTTAAACTTATTTTCTTTACAGTTAATCTGTTTATACGACAGAGGCTCCTCCCTCTTTGGTTGTATAAAATCAAGACGGAAACCTCGGTGGTCACCGGTTGCTCCGTCCACAGGATCTCCAACGAGAGGAAGATGAGCCTGAATCTCTTCTCTGTCGTCTTGGCCGTGCTGCTGAAGCTTTCAGCACAAAATGACTCTCTGGTAAGACACATACATTTCCATATTAAGTCTTAGATAACAAACATCTCCAAAAAAAAAGAAAGTGAATAACTAAATAAACGAGATAAAATTGTTTATAAGTGAGTAAAACAGAAATCTGTCCATTTAAACACATTCCACAATATTGTTTGAATCATTTCTTGGTCAGTGATTTCATTCAATGGACATTATCAGTGTACACTTTATATTTAAAGTATTTAGATCCTCATTAGCCGCTGCGTCCCCACAAGTTTTAAATAATACCTCAAAATCTGAATACACAAGATATAAGACCTGTTGTTTGGACTGATGATGAAACGTTCCACAATATCTTCGTATATTTTGTCCTCACATATCTTTAATGTTTTTAACATTTTGTGTCTCTGTAGGTGCAGCTTCAAGATGAAGGTAATCAACTGTTCTCATTTTAAATATTGAACATATCTAAATCAATGTGCATTCAATAGATCTTATCTTATCTTAGGTGTGAAAACCAATGAATCTCACGGTTTGGACATAACTTCAAGAATTCTGGAGGCTAATAAAGGTACGTTTTGGTTTATTCTGTGAAACGTGTTGTCGTCCGTTGACATGGTGCTCGTATGAACCGGTCTGGATCTGTTTCACGTCTCCAGGCATCGACCTCGTGCTGGTGGAAGGTGACGTCGCTCTCTCCAGGAAAAGAAATGCCATGAAGTGTTGGAGCGGAAACTGCAAATGGACAAAATCCTACAAGGGGCTGGTTGAAGTGCCGTTCACCATCAGCGATTATTTCTGTAAGAGAGAATTTCATAGTTTCGTCTGTGTGTTTGTGTACAAAATAACTCAACAACCCATGGACGGACTTCTGCCAAACTTGGTGGGAACGTAGCTTGTATGTGTACGTCTACATGATTACGTTTTGGAGCTTTATTTTATTTGAGAATACATACTTCGACCCGTCAACGTTTTTATTTTATTCTGTAAACTGACGTTAATCTTGTTTCCATTGCAGATGACAGTGAAAGGGCCTCGATTAGGAAAGCCATGGAAACGTTCCACCAGAAAACCTGCGTTCGCTTTGTTCCTCACCGCGGACAATCTGACCACCTGAGCATCGAGAGCGAAATGGGGTAAACGCAGAGTGGAAGTGGTTTAGTGTTGAAGTCGTCCGTCAGGGTCGGGGTCAAGTCACACTGTCTCTCACTGCGCTGCACAGATGCTGGTCCACCATTGGCAAAGACGGAGGCCGGCAGGTGGTTTCTCTGTCCGTGAACGGTTGTCTGGATCGTGGGATCATTCAGCACGAGCTCCTCCACGCACTGGGCTTCCACCATGAACACACACGGAGTGACAGGGACCAGTACGTCAGGATCAACTGGGGGAACATCCCAGCAGGTCGGATCTAAGCTCAAGGAACTGGAACACTAGTATCCACTAATAAGAGATGATGGCAGTATTTTACAAACGTATATTTATATTAATACCATTATATGTATGTTTATAAAAGAGGAAATACATGCATGTGATAGAAACGAGGCAACATTTATCAATACATGACTTTCAATGATTTTGACCAAGGAAAAATTAGATGCATACGATACACATGCTTTTAATTAGGTAACTCCGAAGCTGATTCATGCATATTGTTTTTTATTGTTATATAGTATATAATGTATTGTATGTTTTAACAGTAAATGTATTCGACTTTCACAAAATGGACACCAACAACTTGAACACGCCATATGACTATTCCTCTGTGATGCACTATGGAAGGTAACACCCCTTTATGTCATTTACATTTACAGTTCTATGGCTTCCGTTAATCTGTGTTTTTATTTATTTATTTTCCAGGACTGCTTTTGCAGAAACGTTTGGAGCAGAGACCATTACTCCCATCCCAGACTCCTCTGTGCCGATCGGACAGAGGGAGGACATGTCTGATATCGATATCCTCAGGATCAACAGATTTTACGGATGCAGTAAGTATAGAAATCATTAACGATAAAGTCGCTGAAGATGTATTAAAATATAATGCATTGCTATATACATGGTGATTTTTTTAGATTCTTATATTTTAAACAAAAAAAGCCAATGGATGGATTTTTTTTAAAGATTTGAACGTGATGATTCTTTTCTGTCTTTTCAGATATTTGAAAGAAAAAGAAGACGACAATATTGTATCTGCTCTTTTGATATGACTGATGTTGATTTAGTTAAATACAATTCCCACAATCTAAATATAAAGTAAATTGACATGAAAATTCACGGGGTGTGTGTCAAGCTTGTAAAAATGTGTTGTTTTAAATTATACTGAGCACACAAACAGAACATTAACAACACAAAATCTACCATGACAACAAACCACAAACCACAAATCTCTGCTCAGGGTGACAAAAACAAACATTTGCTCTGGATCACTTTTTCAAAACAAACTTTATTGAAAACCATCGTTAAAAATCCACCAGGCCACACACCCAGCTGTCAAACGTCCTGATACAGAAGAAACATCAACACAACATTGAGTGAAGAAGTCAAAGCTGTGGAGCTAAACTACCTCGTGAAAATGTGCGGTCAGTCGGAAAGTTCAGCTTTTTTGCACGTGTGGTCCTGCAGCTCATGTTTGTTGTTTCTCGGGTTGAAGGTCACAAAGAAGGAGCACTTCAGATGCTGCGGAGGAGGAAACGACAATAACTGTGATTAAGAAAATGGAAAAATCTCTGAACTCCAACATGCAATGCCATTTTATCACGAGACAGAAAATATAAAGATGGACGACACGTCTCCGCCACCTCCCTTCGTACAAATACGTAGCCACAGTATCCTGGATATGAGTGCCGCCAGCTGTCAATCATAACGATTCACTCTGGAAATTGACCACGTGCTCAAACATCAGTGTGATAGGAACTAGCTCAAAATGACAAAAACCACCAGGGGGCAGCAAGGATGATTTGGCCTCACTTTTAGAGAGCTGTCATGTCGTCCATCTTTGTATTCAGTCTTTCATATCCTGAAAACAAATTATTACAGATTTTGGTTGAGTATAATAAACACAGAAGCAAAAAACCTTTTTCTTCAAACTGCAGCTCTTCAGGTCAGAATTTTCGGACTTGAAGCACTTGGTTTTTCCCAAGACGGCCTCGATCTTGAAGTTGATCATGTTGGTCACCTGATGACACGACGAGAGGACAGGGGAGTTATGTGATGTCATGTGCAGGGGACGTGAGTTCCTCTGTCTCTGAACGGGGAGGATCTAACCTGAGTCTCAGCAGCAATGATGGAGACCAGCTTGTACAGGCGTTGGCTTTTGGTTTTTGTGTTGAAGATCTTCACAGCCTCTTCAGTCGCACTCAGAACTTCCGCTGATTCTGGGCTCCTCTCGAACCAGCCGCCCAGGAGAGACACTTTTTCTACGAAGAAAACACACACACAGTAAACTGAAATTCATGCGTAATAACAACAAATGTGCAAATAACAGCACATCCATACACGTGCACATTCAGCTTTTAAGTGTTACGATGCTTTTCATGCTACTTCATCCAGAAAATGAGCTGTTTCTGTCCAGAACATCAGTCAGAGATTGGAAAATGAAAGAACTCCAAAGCTCCTGGATTATTTTAAACGCTTCCAAACCATCGTCCCCTCTTTGCCAAACCAAGCCTCCGTCTCCAGGCCAAGGAATAAAAAAAAAACTTTCTTGAGGAAAGAAAAGCAGCAGTTAGCGATAATCGTTCCAGCTCAACTCGACCTGATTTTTTGTTTTGTTTTCTGCAGATATATGTTTTAAAAAGTGCATTCAGTGGCTCCAGGAAGTGGAAAGCGAGTCAGTGCATGACTTTTTGTCAACATTGAAACTTCTCTACGCTAATTGGAATATAATGAAAAACCACAGAGCCTCAAACAGACATTCATGGTGCAGGGAAAATAAAGCCTGTACTGACTAATTTTTCATATAGTGCCACCAACAGTTATTATCCCTAAAACAAAACCATTGAGTTAAAGCTACAATTTGCTGCTGTACTCGTGGAACATTTTGTGCGATTATAAATCTGAATACCAATGAATGTTCCTCTGCTCTCAGTGAATTCACTAACCACCGGTGTGGGACACATTTCTTGAATGGGTACCGAATGGAACTATGTTTCCTTTCCAAACCAAACTCCACCAACTTTCTGTGACGCCCAGCATGAGCTCAACTCTCTGACTCACTGTGCCCAACCTTTAAGTCACTGCGTAAACACAAAGGAACAACTTATTTTTGCTGTTAAATCAGAGACACGCCCTGCCAGAGAGAAATCCAAATGTACTCACAAATGAATCCAAAAATAGATGTTCTTTTCCTTATTTGTTGTGTTTAGATCATTTGAGTTTCATTCACGGCTCCTCTGTAACGTTCTGTACAAACATGCTGTTCATCTGTTTGATTTCATTGTATCACAAGTGTCGAACTTGCAGAGTTGCACTTGTTTTGTTTTGCTGCTTTCTAGATGGTTAGTCATGATTCTCACACAGACGCTGATTCGCTGATGTCACTGTTGTATTGTTCATCCAAATCTATAAACAAATTCTTGCATTTGGTGCCATGATGCTTTTTCAAAGATTTACCCAAGTAATACATCTCTATGCATTCCTTGTAGAAGCCTTGCCTCACTCGACTCAGCTTGAATTTATCTAAACTATCTTTTTATCCACGTTGAGATATATTGAGAAAGGAGTTATTAACATAGTCATTATCATACACTGGTGGGAGATACTTTACAAGAAGAAAGTCTAGATGTGAGGTCGTGCTTTCCTGCTGTTAAACATTTGACTGTATCTTAGTGAGGAAACACATGAGACTCATCTGTGTAAATCCACAGTATTATAAGTGCATCTTTACTTAAATCTTTAAAGTAGTATTTAGTTATGAGCCAGTTTCTTGACTTTTAAAGAGTTTATCACTTTCTGAAGAACTACTGTCAGAAGTAGTTCCGTCCTCATCGTATCGTCCCTCCCATTGTTCATGCAGTGACACTCACACATCTTCCTCTCCTCATCACGTCTTACTTGTTGTGATGACCTCCTCCACAGGCTGATCTCCCATGCAGAGCTGGAAAGTCGACAGACATATCAGCACCGACAGTGGGACAGACATCTTTGTACTTGGTGGCCTCGCTTGTGCTCCTCACACGTGGGAGATCTTTGGGATCTTGAGGAAAAGAGGTCAGATAAACATTAGACGGGATCTTAAAACGCTTCGCCAACCAACTCGCAGATGTTTCCACAACGAACTGATTGTGTCCGGGTCCAAAGTGAGAGCGCAGAGAAAGAGTTCAACAACAAGAGCACAAGGAAAAACACAATCAGATGATGAGAAAAGGAAAAAAACAACATGCATAGAAAAGGCCACAGAGAAGGAAACAGTATTAAAAGCATGTATACCTTTCAGATATGGGACTCGACCTCGTGAATGCTGAAGCAGAAGCAGACTGAGAGAAATACTGTGAGCGAGGAAAGTAAAGAGTAAGAGGGGGAGGGACAGAGTTTCATTAGTGGACGTCATTCAATCTCTGGTATGTTTAACAAGCCAGTGAAGACTACACAACACCCAGTGACTGGCAGTGACATCACACAGGGATTTAACAGACATCAGCAGCTTTAGTGTGTCTGTGTGTGTGTGTGTGTGTGTGTGACTGGATAGGTGGACGTGTGCCTTTGTGTTCACACACTTGTGTTCCTGTGCTCTTTGTGGGTTTGCATTCATGCAGTCACATGGGTGGGTCTTCCTGTTAATTGTGACACGTGCATGACGGTGTGTGATTAAACAAAAAAAAAAACACGGTGTTCATCACTTTTTCGTATTAAACCAAAAGAAAAACTTTTATTGTATAAAATGCTTGGGGGGAAAAAGACACGTGACCTGGAAGTAACACACAATAGAATAGATTTGAAAGGTCACCAGAATAGAACGGTGACGTTGGATAGATAGACAACTAAATTAAATATCAACTCAGTCATAAACTTTATGTTGTTGTTGTCTGGACTTAAACTGTCACATAGACGTAAAAGAAAAAATGCATTCAGTCTAAACTGTAGAGTGAACGTGCACACAGAATATTACACATCAGAAACACTGGATGGCGCCAGTGCTGTTTCTTTCCCTATATTCAAAGGTTTTATCCAATATATATTTGAACCTTCCTTCCGAATATTCAAACATTAAATCTATGTGTTTAGATTTGATTATAGATATTTAACTTTCATTCAATATATTCATCCTACATCTTAAATTCTAGACATTCATATTTTATTCTAAATGATATAAGATAAGATAAACTACTTAATATGTTCTGTCTGCTTATATGTTTACAACAGGGAATATATAATATATAATATTATATTCGGTAGTATTTATATTCAGTAGTATTTATATTCAGTAGTATTTATATAAAGTACTATTTATATTCAGTAGTATTTAGTAGTATTTGTATTTAGAAGTATTTATATTCGGTAGTATTTAGATTCAGTAGTATTTATATTTAGTAGTATTTGTATTTAGAAGTATTTATATTCGGTAGTATTTATATTCAGTAGTATTTATATTCGGTAGTATTTATATTCGGTAGTATTTATATTCGGTAGTACTTATATTCAGTAGTATTTATATTCAGTAGTATTTATATTTGCTTTGATCCGCCGCAGGGCTCCGAGCACCTTCGGCTTTCTCCGTCGATCACGTGACTCTGATCTCTTCCGTAAACAAACCCAGGGGCGGATGATCTGCTCCACGCATGCGCACTGTCTTATTCAAACATGGCCGCCAGCTGCTCTCTGTGTGTGTGTGAGCGACATTAACTGGATGTTCGCTGTGTCAACGTCTGTGTAAACATCTGTGTAAACATCTGTGGCTGAAGACGGAGACATCTTGAGTTTCCGGATCATTTGAAAAAAACACTTCAACATCTCAGTCTGAGCCGCCGCGGCTCTTTGTTCGCGGCCTCCGGGGAGAACTCCATTACCCGGCGTCCCTCTGGTGCGTTGCGGGCGCTCCCCGCTGTGTCGGTGCCTTCCCCGCACCGGAGGCTCCGGACCCGCAGCTCCTGCCCGGGCAGAGAGCTCCTGAGATGGGCCACTGAAGAGAGAGACGCCGCCCTGCGAGTCCTCCAAGCGAGTCCACCATGATGTCGGTGAGTTGTGGGTCTTTGTAGTTTCCCCGCAGTGTCGAGTTGCGGTGAGCTCGCGCGTTAACGCGGGTTTAAATGTTTGCGTTGTGTTGAGATTCACTCGTTTATTCTGTTAAACTGTTTTCACAGTGATACATAAATCTCCCGGCTCGGTTTGTTTAGAGACACGTTTAACTGAGGAGGAGCTGAAGTCACATGAACTTACTTTAAAAGTTTAGAAACCGATTTGCTTTTTGGCTCAAAATGTTTGTGTTCGTAATCTTTGCAATCAAATCCTTCAGAGGTTTAAATTGTGTAATCGTCCATCAATTCATTCAATACTAAACTATCTTACAAATCAAATGATTGATTTGTTTAGTTTTTATTGTTCTAATTGATTAGAATTTCATTATGAAGGTTTTTTCTAAAGTCCCTTAAACATACTTTATATACTATTTGGCTCCTACATTTTAAAAAGTACATTTTGTAAAATCCTTACAGGTTTATATTGTGCAGTCGCCCAGCCCTACGTTCAAAACTTTGCTATTTTCCAAAGTAAATAAAGGATCATTAGGAAAAACCACTTCGTACAAAATATCCCCAAATGTTTTTGACATGTGGGACAAAGCAAAGCGAAACACTTTTGAAAGTTTTGGTAGTGAAAGCACTCGCCTCAGAGTTTACCTGGAAGTCTCTCACCTGAGTTTCAGATGGGGTTCGACACAGAGGCTGACACTGGTCACCACCAAGGATTGACTCAAGTTGTTCATATCTGACTTTCTGCTGTGTCACTGTGCCAAATTGAGTTGTTGGATTTGATCATAAGAACAAAATTACAGGTGGATTTTAATAGAACAACTTAATAGTTAATAAATAAAACAAATCTATTCTGTATAACCAGTTCCCTCAACTGGCTTATTCATGTTGGTATGCGATCACTATTTCCAAACATAACATTGAACTCACAGGTTAACTCATAACATTTGTCAGCATGGTGACGGTGACGTCAGTGAAAATTACATCTGGTAGGTAAAGAACCACAAGACGTGTTTTAAACAAACCTCAACGTTAACAATTCGAGCTCGTGAGCGAAAACTAATGTGAGCATCGAACCTGTCATCCAAACTGATCATTTTAAACACCCGTTGCACTTGATCATTAACTTGCTACACCCAAAATGTACTAGATATTTTGGGTGTGCCTACTTTTGCCTCCTCTGTAACCTATTAAAGAAGCAGTTGGCTTGTTCACAACGTTGGCATCATCTAATTACAGTTTTTTTCCCCCAATGGATGTCATTGGATTCCTAGATCAGCGGTTACCGTAGTGAGTTTGTTGTTATGATCACGCTGAAATGATGATTTAGAAAACAAGAGTCACGCTGGAGTTGAAAAGCTTCAAATAGACGTCCTGGTTACATGATTTAAAATATCGGAACCCTATGAAGCCTCTGAATGGAGCCTCACACACTTTGTGTTTGTCTTCACGTGGCACTGAACAACATGCACAGCAGTGGCAATTTGGGTCATGAGCTGCAAACTTGTATTACCTACCTTGTATTAACTCTGCCAAGGAGTTTTTTGGGTGATTGGATTGTTAGTCAGCAAGATAAAGTAAGAATGACAATGGATGTATTCAAAACCTGGAAGGAGGAAATGAAAAAGGAAACCTTCTCCCTATTCCAAGTCCCTGAGCCATCAGCCTCATTCTGAGGCTGAAGCTGCATAGTGTTGCTCTAAAACTGTGAGTTTTGACATTTTCTCTGATCTAATTAATAATACATGTGTTTTCAGTTATTCTGTGAAATGACAGATAAACTGTTTATCTTTAATAAGACTGATTAATATTTTGTTCGATTGATGACAGTAGTTTTAAAAACCTGATTATTGCTGCATTGACATGAACACTGCAGGCTTCATTTTGACTTTCTCCAATGGGCAGCTGGTGAGAAAAAGTCAAACTTGGACAGATGGTGACTCTGAGAGTCTGACAAGGACTCAGCACACACACACGCACGCATGCACACACACACACACACACACACACACAC